TACATAATTCAATTTTAATCGAACATTAACAATTAACAAAATTCAACTAATAATTAAAAAAATAATTTAATAATTAACATATTTAAAATAATAATTAACAATTACATTACAAAATTTTTAAACCTAACAATTAATGACAAATAACTTAATAATTATTCTACTTTATCTAAATCACATAAATAAAATTTAACCTAACACTAACACTTAAAAAAATTAATCTAATAATTAACAAAACTAAATAAATAATTAATAAATTTAAAAGTATAATTAACATATATATTAAAACTAACAACTAACAAAATTACACTAATAATTCAAAAAATTAATCTAGCAAATAATGAAATTAAACAAACAAACAAACATTAATCTAATAAAAAAAATTGGATATAGAGAGAGAAACTCTAACCAAAGAGATGAAGGAGGGAGAGGTCGGATATCCGCCAAAAGCGCTCCTCGCTGGATTGAATGGGTTGGGGAAGGAGTGGTGGCGTGAGGTGGCGTTCACCGACGTGGGGAGGTGGTTTTTGGGTTAGTGGCGGTGAGGGGGAGGAGAGGGAATGGGTGAAATGAGGAAGGAAAAAGAGAAACAATGGGTTTATAAGCTAAAATATTAGTGAAAAAAGTGTTTTTGTCATTAATTAGTGATGATGAGTAATGTCCGTCGCTAATTTGAATTTTAAGCAACCGTTGAAATTCTCCGAAAACATTGAGAAATTTGTCCAATCAACGATAGATTTGTAATTCGTTGCTAATTAGTGATGGATTCACATATCCGTTGCAAATTTTAATTTCAAACGTCCGTTAAATTTTATGGAAACTTTGAGAAATTCACCCAATCAGCAACGAATTAAGAATCCATTGCTGATTCGTTGCTAACTAGCGACGGATCAGCATATCCTTTGCTAATTTGATTTTCAAACCAATCGACAATTTCACCTCTTGGAATTCCACAACATCCATTGAATTAGTGATGGATTGAATGCGTCGCTATTTAATGATGGATAGTGACGAGTAGCTATGTACCCCATAATGAAATAGCAATGGATTGACTATTTCATCATTAAATAATGACATAATGCCGAGCTAATTCGTTGCTAATTGTGGTGCATGTTGTTCTTGCTATTTTTGGCAATGGAAAAGTTTGCGTCCCTAAGTTTCACTCGCCGATCTATCGCTAATTGGTCACTAAATTAACATTCTTCTCATTTCACATAATTTCACCATTAATTGGTAGCTATTTAGAGACAAAATTTTATCTATCGCTAATTATCCATTTTCTTGTAGTGTATCAAAAACACGAACAATAAATAAGACAACATTTTTTAATTCTTTTTAATTTAAACATGGACGTTCAACTACTATCACAATTATTAGTGGAGTAGAAAACACGAAGCATGAAATAGAGATACAACAAGGATTGGAATTGACTCGGTAGCAACAAAGATGGGCACGCCGACTCTTTTTTTTTCAAACTCGAATCATATAGCTAAGTAAAGAAAAAATAAAAGTTTAATGACTCAAGAACAATTTATAATGAATGAAACGATGATTTAAAAATGAAAAAGAATGAATCAAAATTTTTTAATTTTATTTTTTTAATAATTCAACTTGATTTATCCATTTTCTTGTAGTGTATCGAAAACATAGACAATAAATAAGATAATCTTTTTTATTTTTTTTAATTTAAACATGGACATTCAACTACTATCACAATTATTAGTGGATTAGAAAACACGAAGCACAAAATAGAGAGACATCAAGGATTGGAATTGAATGGTAGCAACAAAGATAGACACGTCGACTCTTTTTTCTTTTCTTTTTTCAAACTCGAATCAATAGTTAACCAAAGAAAAAATAAAATTTTAATGACTCAAGGACAATTTAGAATGAATGAAACAAGGATTTAAAAATGAAAAGGAATGAATCAAAAGTTTTTTTTTTTTATAATTCAACTTGATTTAGAGCCTCGCTTTGATACCAATTGATGTAAACCCGTAAATCAAGTGTTTAGCAACCCATAAACAAGATGAATCATTCACTAATGTGAACCCTATAAATCAATTATTTAGACACCCATAAACAAGATGAATCATTTCTAAAAAAGCTGAATGAGATTTTTAAACATGTAAACCATGACCCAATGCCTATAAAAAAGACATGAATTATAAGTATAAGAAGTATATTGATGCCACACTCTAGAAAAGATGAGAATTGGAGTGATAAGTCATTTTTTGAATGCCACAAGAATTAATGCATTCTTGATAATTTACGAAGCTTAATGAAGAACCCAAAGAGAAAGACTCTCAAAATCTCTTTTTTCCAAAATCATCTTTTTTGATTCTTCTCTGAATGAAAGGAATGTGCCTCCTTTTTATAGCTAAAATACCTTTTAAAGTTTAGGGATACATATAAATTTCCACTCCTAAAATATAAGAGAGAATCAAGTCGTTACGATTCTTTGTTCTATCCTCATTAGGAAAAACAATTCAAATCCCTAACTTATAATAAACAATTAAATAAGTCCAATGAAATTGGGATTCATAATCTAAATGAAATAGAAAGGTAATAATACTAATTATTCAGTAAATAATCTAATAAAACTAACACAACTTTGGCTTCCTTTGTTCTTATAAAAAATTCTCTTTAAGAAATATGGTACAATTGGGTGTTGTTTTCAAAATATAATTTTTATTATTTTATTTAAGGAAAATTAATTTCAAAATATTTATTTTAAAAAAAGTAAATATTAAGTTTTTTTTTTTTTTTTGTATATGTATAGTCAATTTATAATTAAAAAAATTTTACAATTAATTTTTATATTTAATTATTTATAGATAATAAAATAGCATTTATATTGAACTTTTATTGTTAGAACATTTGCTCAAGGGAATTGCACATAACACAAATGAAAAAAAAAACAAAAAATCAATACAATCGCATATAGATTTAAGTCTGTTATTCAATATAAAATAAATAAATAAATAAATTTTTTTTCAAAAACAAATTCAACTCGTCAAATAAGCAATTTTTTCTAAGGAAAGCATAAAAGTGACTCTATCTACAACTTTTTGCACGAAAATACAATCCTTATATTATATTGATAAAATTATTTTGCATTGATCTTTAATAAGTCAATAATTGCACTAACTGTTTTATCTTTGTCTGTAGTTGCTTTTGAACTTGATTATTATTTATAAACATTACCTACTCTTACTATTTTTGAGGTTATGTATAGGGTAAATCTAGGTTTTTATACCCAATACAATTTAGTTTTAATGTAGTTTTTTAATATAGGCATCTGTTATGATATTTATCAGGAAAAATCACGTGCAAACAATGTTGAGAGAGGTCTTTGAATTGTAGGGTAAATTATAAATTAGTCCCTCTCATTTAGAAATGAATTAATTGGTTCTTTTGTTTTCAAAAAGTAATTATATAATCCTTTTAACCAATATTGACCACAACTATTTTTTTTTAAATGTCTTCTTTTTTCACAAATTTTTTTTCATATTTTTTAAAAAATAAATCAAAATAAATTGAAAATGAGCAAAAGGACTAAAATGTTAGTTTTTAAAACTAGAGGGCTAATTAATTCATTTTCCGAACAAGAGGGACTAATTTATAATTTACTCTTGAATAGCAAGTAGCTGACGAAAATAAGGAAAAAAAAAAAAAGAGCAATGAAAGATAGGAGAATTAAATGCTCTGTTTGAAAAGTAAAGGAAATGATAGAAAAAGGCCAAAGAAGAAAATTAAAAGGAGATTAGTCAGGCCAAGTGTGGAAAAAAAAAACAACGAAAATTAAACATACTTTGGGCTTGACTTAAACAATGAAAAGGGAAGTTCTAGATTTACTACGAGCAAAGGAAATGATAGAGAAACAAAGCCAAAGAAGAAAATTAAAAGGAGAATTAGTCAGGCCAAGTGTTGGGGGGTGGGGGTGGTGTGTGTGTGGTTGTTGACTTAAACAATGAAAGGGAAGTTCTAGATTCGCTACGAGCCTTACTTCAACCAAGAGGAGTAGGATTTATTTTGGGCTAATCTTGTGTACGCGTCCATGATAATTAAACCTACTTATGCTGTTAAGTGATAATTGAACCTAGTTTTAGAATTATTTTTGTACCTTTTTTTAACTTTATATAATTTAAAATATTTAATAATGCTTTCACTTTTCTTTTCTTGTAAAAAAAAATAATTATACGTGAATTTTTTTTTCACCTTGGGAATCAATAACTAAATTATAATTTTATTATAATAATTTTGTGAATAATAATTTTAAAGTTAGGTTGAATTAAAATTTAATTTGTCATTAACCCTTTTCCTAGTAATGAATTATGAATCATGTTTATTTTTAATACAGTACAATTATTGTTAATGTATATATGTATATATATATAATTCTATTTCTTTAATAAAATTATCAGATTAACGACTATTATTAAAATTGCGACCCTTGTTTAAAACTATGTTTATATTCCGTGCGTGAGATAAACTTGTTTTCATAATTGTAAGGAGGGTCTAAACACTTTAATTAGCAGAGGTTTTGGATTCTAATCCCCGCGGATCAAACTGAAGGAAGACAATAGGCTGTGTGGAATGAAAAAGAAAGAATTACACTGGGCGGTTAAATACAGCAGCGTCAGATTTTAATCAAGAATTGCCATATTTGCTGAAGTAAGTTAAACAAACTGTAACTGACCCACAAGGTTTATGAGGGATAGGGCCCTGAAACAAAATAGACCTATCTTTATACAAGTTAAAACAGGCACCCGAAAAAAGAAAGAAAGAAAAGCAAGGGACAGACTTGCTAATTACGATATTTTGCGGGCATGCAGACTCTGCCATCAAAAAGCTGATATTGCACGCACCAAACCCCAAATAGAATCCAGCACATGCCAACCTCATTTGATAAGTGATTTTTATACTAATACGACTACGAGACCCAGTGGTTGGCATTTGGCCTGTCCAATCTCCCATGCAAGCTTTGACATGACTTGTTGTCACCTTAGATTTAATTTCAACTTCTCTCTATCTTCAGTGCTGCTATCCATAGCCCATACTTGTACCCAAAGCAGGCCTGGGTTCATGCATATCCTCTCATACGTACTGTCCCAGTCAATAATACAATTTTAATTTACATGAATCCTTTTTTTATGGTGGTATTAATTAGAGGATAACCACAAGCCAACCATAGTAAGCTCAAACATCGAATACGAAAACTATAGTAAGTTCAACAATCCAACTCCCAACAAAAAAAAAGGGTATACGATGGATCAATCAGTGGAGATTGAGGACGCTTGGAGTAGACGAAAAGTCATATAAACAACAACAAACATATGGAGAATCCAATCATCATTTATAATAAAGAAATAAATTGCTATGTTTTTTTTCTTTTAATAAATAAAAAGCTTGATTTATAGGCGGATAATTTCAGGTCAACTACCTTAACCATTTCTTATTGTCTTCATCTTTGCTTGAATAGCACGCATGCAGGAAAACATCACATGTTACTTACTCCATCTTGACCTTAAAACCACCGCCAAATCCTATGCTAGAGCCGGCCTTTGTTTTAATTAATTGATTCTTTCTCCATTCTCTATGCAATAGGTTGCACTCATGAATCGCCTCAAAATTAATAAAATGCACATATTGTTTTCAAGGGTAGCAATCTCTATGTGTCACCCTGAGCTGATATCGAAGCTTATAATGGTCTTCTTTTCAATATTTTATTTTATGCTCAACAGTACACTATCTTGGTAATTTACGTTTAAATTTTGATTAATGACAAACGTACGATTGATGTGCTTCCAAGATGGGGGATCATCAAGATCGAACTTGTCAAACGATGTACAGAGATGGTTCGGTATTACTTTTAATCATTTTTATTTGGTAAAAAAGTTTTCGTGAAACTCTTTCAGTTCCAGTTAACTATGAGTAAATTATAAATTAGTCCTTTTATTTTTTTATAACTGAATTAACTAATTCTTTTGTTTAAAAAATTAATTATCTAATTTTTTAATCAATATTTATTACATTTAATTCGATATTATTTTATTTAATAAAATATCATATTTTTTCATCAATTTTTTATTTTTTATTTTTAAAATAAAAATCAAAATAAATTGAAAAAAATAAGTTATAAAAAAATTAAAACTATACGAATTAAATAAATATTTTTTTAAAAAATAATTAATTCATTTCTCAAAATTAAAGGAACCAATTTATAATCTACTCATAGTGCAATTAATGGCACAGTGATAAGAGTGGATTAGTATGACAATAAATAAATTTCTCATACATCACTCATTTATAATATTGATATTTCGAATCTCACTCATCACGATATATAATTAATAATATATTTTTATTTTTATGTATGATTGTAATTATTCTTAAAAACGCTTTAAGTTTCGTTTTCAACTTAAATATTATGAAATGTTTTTCAAATAAAAATATCATGTGATATGAATACAATGTCCCGTTGTCGGAAATTTGTACAAATTCCCTGACAGTTCGGCTTGCAGAACGAGATCACGTACCCTCGCAAGTATCGCTCATGTGTCGTCTTTTATTGAAGTGGAAATGCGTACGTTCCCAACTTTTCTTGTATAATTCAATATGAAGAAGAAAGAAATCAATACGACAGGCAGCAGCTAATAGCTGCAAAGAGCAGAAGGTTTGATGATGGAACCGAGCAATGAATGATCTGTGCAAAAAATCAGTTGAATCTCATTTTGTAAGTGGGAGTGTCCAATTAATGGCTTACTATTTGTTTTCCAACCTTTTCAGTTTCTGACTTCCAATTGGATGGATATATAAAGCTAACCAGCCATCAGCAAGTGGGGACCTTTTTTATTTTATTTTATTTTATTTTATTCCATTCCATTTGCAAAAGAAATGGTATTTTGAGCAACTTGAAATGATCAATGGTTTGCTATTAATGAGTTGGTTGGCAAACACATATTACCATAGGAAAATAAGAAAATAAACACGATGATCCTACTTCAGGAAAGGAAGGGTTGTTGTGTTAATAATATAATAAAAAGAAGGAGGCATCATCACTAAATATCTGCTAGAGTTTAAGCAAAAAAAGATTAGGTGATATGTAACATCAATTTCTTTTCGGCACATATCCACGCAGTGCGTCTCTGTCTCGCCGGCACGCACGTTATCGATTGTATCGTATAATAACTTTCATGGTCTGCAAAAATCACGAGTTTATGAGTAAATTATAAAGTAGTCTTTTTCGTTTTACGAAACAAATCAAATAGTTTTTCCCTCATGTGAGATCAGATGTTTTTTACGTTATATAGAAATTTTATAATACATAAAAAATAATTAATGATATATATATATATATATATATATATAGTTATTTTTTATGTTTATATATATATATATATATATATATATGTAATTTTTTATTATTTTTTATGAATATTGATATAATTTTTTTAATGTATTTTTTTCCTTTCAAAATAGAAATTTTTTTTTATCATTTTTTATGGATATAGATATAATTTTTTTTATATTTTTTTTAAAAATAAATTTAAAAAATAACTATTATATAAATTATTAGTTACTTCTATTATAAAATATTTCCGTAGTAAAACACAAGCCGTTACTTTGTATAAAGAAGAGTTTGGGATTGGACGGTTGAATTGACTAAAGTGTCCTTAGTGCGAAAGGGAATTTCTAGTTGCGACAAGTTTTCTTCCTCCGAATTTACTAAATATTTCTTTTAGAGAATGCTTGTTACCGGAATCAGTGAAACTAAACTGCAAAAAAAAAAAAGAAAAAAAAAAGAAAAAGAAAACAACCTTGCTTACAAAAAGTCAAAGAAAAGCCAAGAGGAAAAAAAAATACTGTTATTTAAACAGTGAAACAAACAGTAAAAACGAATGATAAAAATGCCTTATATTTTAAAATATTAATAATATATTTAAAAATTAATCAATTATTCTTTTTTATCTGTATGATTATATTTAATTTAATATTATTTTATTTTAAAAATATTTATTTTTATTGATATTTTTTTATTTTTTTAAAAGCAAAAAAAAAAAAAACCCCGAAATAGACTAATGATTAGTTTTTCATATCAAAGAGATTATATAATGTATTTTAGAAAATTATAGTTACTAATTTATAATGTACTCCATGACTTACGTTGGTGCTGGACATCATCCACACCAGTCCGGGGGAATTTACCGTCCAGAATTTGTGTAAGAGGGCGTTCAAATGAGGCCTTGACTTTACGTTAAAGTGGGGTTGTTAGGCGAACAAAAAACGCGTCCTTCAAGCTATAGAAATTAGAGTTTAGGCGAAAGCGGGTCCTACCCATTTATCCTCTTTCAAACTTTACTCTTTTCCACCAAACCTTTTTGTTTACTAGCTAGTAGCTATATGGAAAACGATGTGTCCTGTGCATGTGAAACTTGTTCGTCCATTGGTAACTAGAGGCCAAGATGGGTGGAGTATGGTTATGACCCCCAATTAGAGGGACATGATCTTCCTTGTTGGATACTGGTACCTGTTTGCTAGATTTGAAACTTGGGGTGGCCATTTGGTACAACGCGGAGTCTTTGTGAGTGGATCAGTTTGGACTTGGGACCAAGGTTTTTAGTACGTTTTGGATGTTAGGTAATTAGGTATGCGTCAATGTCCTCATTGTATTAGACTTATAAACAAGGGGACCTATGGTTTGGTTTTTTTTTTTTTTTTACTCCCCTCATCGACCGATCTCTAATTTCCTTTCCTTTGTGGGTGGAACTGGGTTTTTTTCTTTTTTAATCGCTGGAGACAATATCAAACAACACTTTCTGAGAAGAAATTTTATTAATCCAGTTGAAACTTCATTTAACATTTAATTTTAATAAATTTTAACCCTGTTTCATGTTCTGTTTAATATTAATCTTGTGTCGATGGAATATTTACCATGACAAGAAATTTTCCGTTTAGAAAACAGGTCTAACTGTGTATAAAATGACGAGTGTGATGGAATATTGAGATAGAACATCACTTCATACTATTTTTCTTTTATTAGCTTTTTTTTATTTTTTGAACATTTCATTAAAAAAAGAAAAGAAAAGAAAAGAAAATTCATCAATCCCCAAATCTCAGTATGAATAATTTGTGATCATTAATCACATCAGAGAGATGAATTTACTCTCTCGAGAATACGACCTCTGCATTAAGAAATTACCATATTTTTCTCCTTTAATTTTGTGTACTTTGGATATTTACCATGACCCTACCCCAGAAATAAACAAGAACAGTATTAATTAGAGATAAGGGCAAAATTGAAAATCGGACATACAATGCTGCACTGATCCAACCTGTTCAAAGTTGACAACTCCAGGATTCCAAGGTGGAGAGAAGTAAAATATCTTGTCCTGTGTCAACCCAAACTGACGAATTAGTTCAAACTCACAAATGAATTTGTCGCATGTCTATTGGCATTTTGGTTCACATTTTTCCTCTTTTGTTGGCTCAGTTTCACTCTCTCTTTCTCTCTCTTCACGTAAACCAATGCAGTCTAATGGCTAAAACTTGCTGACCAAGAGGAGAGGGACAGAGCTAACATGCGCACATGCCAAATTGCAACCTCGTAATTCAAAAGCCATAATTCTGAACATCTCTCGTGGATGATAAAAGATTAAATCGTATACCATGGGTCCAAAACCACAAATGGGTGGCAATTAGCCAATGGATTTTTCTGAAAACAGAAGCAGCTGTTCTCTATCTGTCACCGGGGCCCTTATAGTAGTACAATTGTGGAGCACAATATGTCTCTCCCGATACATTTCGTATTGAGTTCTAAACTTCATACGAAGCATTGATTTACGGGTGATTACAATAAGAGTATCATTTTTTTTTTTCATTTGTCCGTAAAAAGTTCTTTCTTTAACTAGTTTAACTGTCAATTAAAATTAATTTTTTTATACGCTTTTATATAAAAAAATTAACTAAAATTTTCTAAATACTAATTTTAATTTACAAATCCAAAAAAAAAAAAAAGGAATCATAATTTTTTAACCTATATATATATATATGTTTGGAAAGTAAATTTGAAAATATTATTAAAACGTGAGCCTCAAAATTTTCTCTTCAGTTGATCTCTCGTCAAAATAAATAAATAGATTTTACGTGTATTGAGACTTTTTATAATTTATTTTTTTTATCTAATTTAAAAATTAAACTCTTATATATATTTTTTTATTTTAGATTTTAATCAATAATATCTTCTCATATATGTTTATATGACAAATTTTCATTAATTAATACTTATTATTTATCTTTACGAAATATATTATGATTTAAAATAATAATAATATTAAAATCTTAATTAAAAGAATTCGAATCGTAACACATAAATAAATAAATAACCAACGAAAGAATTGGATAAGCTTTGTAATAAAATTAAGCAATTTTGTCGGTGCATCCTACCACGTCAGACATGATGATGTCCTAACCAACGGTGATCCAGAGTTCGCTGTCCCGAGCTTTTCTCATAGGTTGACACGTAGGCCCACAGATCGACATCCGAGCCCTGCCCTTCCTTCCGGTTCCCTCAAGTTCGAGAATGATCCAATGCGAAACCACCACGTCATAAAGTGGAAGATCTTCAGTTTTGTTTCGTATCTACTCCTCCAGAAGGTTGGCCCCCCCCCTCCCTCCCCCACACAAAAACATTCGCTCCGTAAGCTCTTTTTTCGGCCGTTAAAAAAGGAGTATTTTTAAAAATGCATTAATTAAAATTAATTTTTTTACCTGGCAATTTAAAAGTACATTCGTAGTGCCAAGCAAGTTCATCCTTTGAAATTACATCGTACCGTGACTGGCGGGCGTAGAGTTCCTTGCACCTACAATTAAAAATAATTTCATTACGTTGTACTATTATAGTATGTTGAATATATATATATATATATATATATTTCTCAAGCATGGGAGATGATCATATCATCATAACGCACCTCCAAAGGTGAGGTGGCAGTAGCTAACAGGATTGGGACTTAAAATAATAGTAACCCTACCAACCTCAAAAGACTTGTCACCTTTTTTCAGAACGTATAGCTACTGTATTTTAAAACCGACAGAAGGAAGCAAACATCTTCAAGTCAAACACCACAGGAAACCACAGAAACGCAAATTATACTAATAAAGTACTATAATCAAATTCAATTAATTAAAGGTTTAAGAAATAATTAAAAAAATGGAAGCTAAATTTCAACGTACAACAGCAAAAGAAAGCAAGTGGATAGGATTTGTAAAAAAAAAAAAAAAAAGACCACAGGGAAAGAGAAAAGCGGTTTTGTAAAAGGAAAAAAGAAACTGCAGGAAGGTTAAGCATGATGGTTTTGGGTTTCACAAGGAAGCACCATTAGTCTATTACTACTAGAACAACGATAATTATTATTATTCTTTTTATGAAATTCATGTGTCACATAAACCATGAGGAAGGAAGGTGTAAGCAACCCATCTTCTCGTTTCTCATTTGTGTATAAAAGGGTTTCATTCTTCACTCTTTTCTCCATCCTCATTTGTGATCGTAAACTTCTCCTTTGCTTTTTTGCGTTTTCTATCTGCGTTTATTGTTTTTGTCCAAGATTTTGCGTTCATTCTTCTTGTTGAAGCCTTTGCCAATCAGCTAACCAGCACCTTCTTCAAGTAGTTTCTGTACATCTATTGTGGCATTAAGCTCAAGGTAAAGATCCTCAACTATCTCAACAAGATAATAAATTTTTGGTTTTGGCAACAAATTTTAGCTACTCCAACCTATTTTAAGTATAATTGCTTGTTAGATGTTAAGGGATATTCCGCATGGATGCTCTTTCTTTCATGCTATTTTTTCCGTTTTACTCGTCATTCGTACCTTGGACAATACTGTCACACAAAGTACTATAGCTACAGAGGTTCGGAACTTGCACAGATTCTCGAAAAGAAAATGCAACAGCAGGTAACAACAACACCACCTAAAAGTCTTTGCCTGATCATCAAGGCCAATAAAGCAGCAGCAGCAGCATCATCATCATCATCATAACTATAATAGGACCCACCTACTGTCTCAGCTCCATTAGTGTCCCACTTCTTGATTTCCATTTTTTTTTATTTACTCCATTTTAATAGTATCTTGAGGTCCACACCTCCTGGGCCTCCATGTATGCCAACTGCAGTACTACTAGTGGAGTATAAAGTATAATATTATACTATCTTGAAATAAATTATGTACACAATGGACGGATTAGGATCACGAGAAGATTTACCGTGGTGCACAGTCTTTCCCCATTAACTGTAACTTGATAAATTTACCTTCTGTTTTTTCCAAGCTTTTTTCACTATAAATATTCCCCAAAGTCTAGCATCTTTCATTCCCACTTCATTGTGTATTCCCTTCTCTATTTCCTTTGTTGCGTTTGGTTAGTTTATTTTCTCTCTCCTTTTCTTCTTCTCATTACGTTTCCTAGTTTTTTTTTTTTTTTTTTGATATTTTCTTATAGTTTTATTAAAAAAAGAAGAAGCTGAATTAGAGTTTGGTCTCACTTCAACTAACATGGTTAGGTTTGTGTTTAAGAAAACTTATGCAGATCACGAGTCTGTAAAATGCTAAGTGTTTATCATGATCTTATGAACATGAAGTAGTATAATGTTGTAAGAACTAATTAAAAGCAGTTGTACTATGACCAATAAGTAACTTAGAATTATGTCGTGGTGCTGACGAAACTCTGCTGTTTTTTCAACGCCTCATGTTAGCGGGGGAGAGAAATTCAGGTTTAAATTCTCTTGTTATGTCAAAGCTAGCTATCCATATTTGACTGAATCAAGCTTTTGATATTCCACAAGGAGGATTTTCTCTCCTCTTTATTTTCTTTCCCTGATTGTGTGTTTGGTTTCTTGCCGAATAATTTTCTCTGCTTTATTCTTTTTGCTTGAAGATCTCTCCTTTAAGGTTTCTTTCTTTCTTTAAACAAACCCAGTTTTTAAATTCAAAAGGATGATTTTCTGCATTAATCAGCAATTTTTTTTTTAAATAACCCATTATTGGTATTTTGCTCTTCAACTTCATACCTGGTGACCAAACATAATATGTTCTGCTTTCTTTTATTCGTTCTGTTATGGAAATCTATTAAATTCTGCAGTCACCAGTAGATTTTTGTTTTAAATGTTAATTGTTCTTATGCATTATGTAAGGCATTTGTAATCTTAGTTTAACCATTTACTCTTAACAAAGTATTAAATTTTATTTGTTTTTTAGAAAAGAAAAAAAATTGGTTGGTGAGGTGAGGTGTTAGGTTTGAAATTTTTCAGTCTTCTAGAATAATGTGGTTTCTCTGTTGTTCTTGACTTTGTTCTTGTTGATCACTAGCTATTCTTATCCTTATAAATAATCGAGAGTTCTTGCTGGTTTTTTATTCGTATATCCGTTATACTACGTACATAGTACTTACACTTGCTTTCTGTTTTTTTCTTAAGGAGCTATGGCTACTCTTACTCGTGTCCAAAGCATTCGTGAACGTTTGGACGAGACCCTCAAGGCTCATCGCAATGAAATTGTTGCCTTACTAACCAGGTAACCATGCTTTCCTTTTTGTTTATGATTTATGGAGTTGTGGGGGTAATAATAGGGCCCTCCTTGCTTTTTTTTTTTTTTTGGGGTACAACCTGTTAGGATGTAGCTTTATGACAGAATATTTGGGATTGTTTGTGTTACAGGATTGAAGGTAAGGGAAAAGGAATTCTTCAGCACCACCAGATTATTGCCGAGTTTGAAGCAATTCCTGAAGAGACCAGGAAGAAATTGGTGGGTGGTGCTTTTTCTGAAGTTCTCAGATCCACACAGGTGACTCCCATGATCACACTTCCATTCTGTTATTTTTCTTGTTCTCATATATCCCAAGTTTTGAGAATTTTCGCTAACTGTATTTTTGTTGATTCTGTTCTTTCAGGAAGCAATTGTTTTGCCTCCATGGGTTGTTCTTGCTGTGCGCCCGAGGCCTGGTGTCTGGGAGTACATTAGAGTGAATGTCCAAGCACTTGTTGTTGAGGAGTTGCGTGTTGCTGAGTATCTTCATTTCAAGGAGGAACTTGTTGATGGAGGGTAAGTCAGTGTATTGATTTGATGCTAGATTTTAATTGAGTTCTCCCAATTTCATAGGCTGTACGTGCATGCTTTGTGTATTTCAAGAGCTGTATATCTGACAATTTTGGTTGATCTGATGATGCAGCTCCAATGGAAACTTCGTGCTTGAATTGGACTTTGAGCCATTCAATGCTTCTTTCCCCCGCCCAACTCTTTCAAAGTACATTGGTAATGGTGTCGAGTTCCTCAATCGCCACCTTTCAGCTAAGTTGTTCCATGACAAGGAAAGCCTGCACCCCGTGCTTGCATTTCTCAAAGTGCACTGTCACCAGGGGAAGGTATGCTTGATACAATATCCAATTTCCAGCATTTAGAATAACTCTTAGGATAACTTGCACAAATGAAAACTCAAAACTCCCTGATCTCAATTTGCTTGGATCAAACTTCTATGATATAACTGATGATTTTATTAGAATCTTGTAATTTCTGACTATCATCATGTTTAGAATATGTAATTGAAGCAAGGATTGCATACTGCAGAACTAGATCCTGTAAAATCTGATAACATATTGTATATTCTTGTGCAGAATATGATGCTGAATGACAGAATTCAGAACCTGGACTCTCTGCAATATGTTCTGAGAAAGGCTGAGGAGTATCTGTCTACTCTGAAACCTGATACTCCATACTCTCAATTTGAACACAAGTTCCAGGAGATTGGCTTGGAGAGAGGATGGGGTGATACTGCTGCGCGTGTTCTTGAGATGATTCAACTTCTTTTGGATCTTCTCGAGGCACCAGATCCCTGCACTCTGGAAACATTTCTTGGCAGAATTCCTATGGTCTTCAATGTTGTGATCATGTCCCCTCATGGATACTTTGCGCAAGACAATGTTTTGGGGTATCCTGATACTGGAGGCCAGGTTACTTCACAAGCCTAGCCTACTCCTTATCTTCTTGCACGCACTATTGAAACCTTACCTGATCTGGCTTGCATATTACTTTCTGCTAGGTTGTTTACATTTTGGATCAAGTTCGTGCCTTGGAGAGTGAAATGCTTCTGCGTATCAAGCAGCAAGGACTCGATATCATCCCCCGAATTCTCATTGTAAGTTTAATTTCCAAGCCTTATGGAGTATTTTATCATATCAGCCTTCTCATTGTTTGTAGTTTTCTTACATTCTTTGGTGCTTAATCTGTCCTTTTTTTTGTGTTTGCAGATTACTCGACTGCTCCCTGATGCAGTAGGAACCACTTGTGGTCAACGTCTGGAGAGAGTATATGGATCAGAGCATTGTGATATTCTTCGAGTTCCCTTCAGAGATGGAAAGGGAGTGGTACGCAAATGGATTTCCCGCTTTGAAGTATGGCCATACCTAGAAACTTACACCGAGGTACTATTTCCTTATTGTTTCCCAAAGTAATCCTTATTCTCAAAGTCCTACATTTAATTTCATGCGCTAAGATAATATCTTGTTTTCCAGGATGTTGCTGCTGAAATTGCTAAGGAGTTGCAGGGCAAGCCTGATCTGATCATTGGAAATTACAGTGATGGAAACATTGTTGCCTCCTTGTTAGCGCACAAATTAGGTGTTACAGAGGTCTGTCCTGACTTCATGTTGTTTTTGCACCATTTTTTTTTCTTCATTCTGTAGCATAACAAATTAACAACTCTCTTTCTCTCTTTTTCTTTTTTGCAGTGCACCATTGCACATGCTCTGGAAAAAACAAAGTATCCAGAGTCAGATATTTACTGGAAGAAGTTTGATGAAAAGTACCACTTTTCATGCCAGTTTACAGCTGATCTTTTTGCCATGAACCATACGGATTTCATCATCACCAGCACATTCCAAGAGATTGCTGGAAGGTTATATTAAGTCTCCCCTGATTGTTATTCTTGTGAATGCTTCTTTTATTGCATCTAACCTACAATGTTCTGCCATTTCAGCAAGGATACTGTTGGACAGTATGAGAGCCACACTGCTTTCACTCTCCCTGGCCTCTATAGAGTTGTTCATGGTATAGATGTCTTTGATCCCAAATTCAACATTGTATCTCCTGGTGCTGACGAGAGCATATACTTCCCCTACACTGAGGAGAAACGTAGGTTGACATCTTTCCATGAAGAAATTGAGGAACTTCTTTACAGCCCTGTTGAGAACGAAGAGCACCTGTGAGTTTCTATCTCTTTTACTTCCTTGTAAATTTGTTCTATAGTTGGAAAAGTTCCTGGATAAAGAAAAGATGTCTATTATTCATCACTTATTTTTGTTATCCAACAGATGCGTGCTAAAAGACCGCAACAAGCCAATTTTATTCACCATGGCAAGGCTGGACAGAGTTAAGAATTTAACTGGTCTTGTAGAATGGTATGGAAAGAATACGAAGCTACGTGAATTAGTTAATCTTGTTGTAGTTGGTGGTGACAGAAGAAAGGAGTCTAAAGATCTAGAAGAGCAAGCTGAGATGAAGAAAATGTACAGTTATATAGAGAAATACAACTTGAATGGGCAGTTCAGATGGATATCTTCTCAGATGAACCGTGTGAGGAATGGAGAGCTCTACCGTTACATTTGTGATACCAAGGGAGCTTTCGTGCAGCCTGCTTTGTACGAGGCTTTTGGATTGACTGTTGTTGAGGCCATGACATGTGGTTTGCCAACCTTTGCTACTTCCAATGGTGGTCCTGCCGAGATCATTGTGCATGGAAAATCCGGATTCCATATTGATCCATACCATGGTGAGCAGGCGGCTGAACTCCTTGTTGACTTCTTTGAGAAGTGCAAGGCTGATCCCACTCGCTGGAATAAAATCTCCCAAGGAGGCCTGCAGCGAATCCAAGAGAAGTAAGCTCGCAGCTTCTCTCTACGACTTATTGGTTCTTTCAAGCTGTTACAATGAAGTTTGCTAAACTCTGTCTGTCATTACTTGCTTTCATCACAGGTATACCTGGCAAATTTACTCTCAAAGACTGCTGACCCTCACCGGAGTTTATGGATTCTGGAAGCATGTTTCCAACCTTGATCGTGGCGAGAGCCGTCGGTATCTGGAAATGTTCTATGCACTCAAATATCGTAAATTGGTATGAATTCTTCTTCAAGCATTATGATTTCCCATCCACTCTTGCAAAGGTTTATTTGATGATACTGATGAATGTCTATCTTTTTATAACCATGCAGGCTGAGTCTGTTCCTTTGACTATCGAGTAAATGGAACTGAAGAAATCAAGGAAACGTTGGTTGGTTTGAGTTCGGTTCCCGATCCAGAATAATGGCCATTTCACGATGGTGATTGGACAAGAAAGGCTTTGATTTTCTTTTCTTTCTTTTTCTTTTCCTTTTCTTTTTTTTTTTTTTTGTTTTTTGTTTTCTTTTTCATTACGCGGCATTGTTTGCACTTCGGCAATTGCGCCCCTTGAATTTCAGTAAAGATTGTCTTTTGGGTTCATCCATTCCTCGCAAATTATCTGTCTCTTGAGATTGGAATTTAAGGGAATTGATCCAACATCAATGATGGCCGTGCTGCGTCATTATAAAGATAAAAATAAGTTTGGCCAACTTTGTACCTTTCTCTACAAATTATCCAAGGGCTCAAAGGAATGACCACTGACCGGCACCTATCAAGTTAGGTAACTGTACCATATGTCTTGTTTCTTAGTAGAACATGGCGTGGTTAGTGGGATCAATAAATTAAGTCCTTGAAGCAGAAACACGGCCATCATTTGATAGGTGACGGTCATTAATAATTCGAAGCAGAAACACGGCCATCATTTGATAGGCGACGGTCATTAATAATTCTCATGTCTAATCTTTTTTTTCCAGATGATTTTCGCCCATTAACTTTGTCCCCATAAATTTGTCGTATCAAAGACACTTTAAAAAAAGTGAACTTTTTCTTTTCAGCTGTTTTCTGTTGAGAACTAAAATTCTAATGGTCAACTATTTAGCTAAAATCTGTTTGTCATTTTCTTTTTCTTTAAAATAATTCTCTCGGACATTCTTTCCAAAAGATTTTCTATAGCATAATGTATTTGTTTTACTACACAATCAAGAAAACAGTCCTATCAAAGACGGGACCAATAAAAACAATTTTAAAAAGAGAAGCGTAACCATAGAATCCAAACTTATGAGAAAAAGGCCTCTCCGTGGAATCATATTGCATTTAACTTGAGGTGAGATACTGGTCATAACGTTCAAATTTTGTAATTTTTGGAACAATTATTTTTTAACCAAATTTGCAAGATATCTACGAACAATTTCTATAGGAATTTTATGAAAGACTAGTAAAGATCTTGGAAAAGGATGCAAGGGAATATCCCTACAACCAATTTCAAGAAGTGCTGAAAGGCCATAGGCTGTTCAACTTAGATCATGAACCGAAAAACTAACAAGTATTCAAGGTGTCAAAAAAGTTTACAATATCTATATTATTAACAATTTACAAACGAATCAATGATTGATTATAATGCCAAGATGCAAAGGTAAATGCAAGAAACCCCTTCTAATTGTATATGGATGCCTACGCACTCAAGGCAAAGGTCAAAAATTTTATGTACAACATACTTTCAAGCTACTTACAAAAAATGCATTGCTTTCTACCTTTGAGATTTACCGACTATAAACTGCATAGGGTGCCTTCAGCCTTTTCGTGCTCTCTCTCTTCATGGGTGGTAGGTAGTTGCCATTGCTATTCGATTTGGTGGCATTGTAAACAACAAGAGAGCCGATCCTTTTTGTTCTTCCACATGCTAGCATCTCTGTTTTCTTACCCACACCCTTCTTTTATTTTCTTTTAAATAATTTATCACTGGACGCACAGGTAAGGATTACCAAGCCATTCCAAAATCACAAATGCATTCTCAAATGTCACGAACATGAATACCTCATATCTGCTCTTGCTCAACAAATTTCGTTATTCATCCCTGTGTGGCCCTTCCCAAGTTCTTCTCTTCTAGAGGCTGCCTTGGATAGAGAATTATGGCCAACAATAAAGAGAATGCAAGACCAATTGCCCCACAGAAAGGTTGGTGGGGATGTGTACCAGTTACCAAAACAGGATAATTGGGCTTATAGGTCAAAAGGCCACCTGTTTGTAAAACAAAACTTGAAGCCATTATCCCCGTCCTCAACCCAATTGGAACGGACAGGCTCCCTTTGCTTCTTTTCCGAAGCCCTGCAAGAGCCAGAGAGAAAAGCCAAAGCCCTGGTACTGCCCAAAGAGACCTGAAAAAACCAAAATTGGAGAAAAATTCTCACACATGACTGGCAATGACCCTCCGAATTAAGTTGGAATTTAACTCCTATATTTGTAGGAATAAAAATTTTGAGAAAATTTTGTACAATATCATTAATTGATGATCGTACAAGAAGAAATTTTTTCAAAGGAACATCTCCTTTCGATAACAATTCTAGTCATGAATATTGGCTAGCATTGTTGGTAAAGTCATTTGATGCAGTATGAAGGTGATTTGGGGTCAAATATTGCCTTACAACAAGGATGGGAGAGATTAGAGAAGACACAGATCTAACCTTCATTGTGCAGTGCACCTGAGGTGTGTTTTAGTGAACCAATAATTCATCATAAAATAACAGGATGAAGAAAGCTAGATTGAATTTCAAAATCAATGGATTAACCTGAGGGAGAACTAGAAGAGAAGAATATGGCAATAATATCCCAGAGGGAAAAGGAAAGAAAAGGAAAACTGTGGTACTGTGATATTCTCCAAATGGTAAAAAATAAAGAATATACCTCTGGAAAAGAGAGAATGCCAGTCCTGAAATAATAATTCCTTGATGATAACCAAGATCTGCTGCAATTTCTTCAGTCAACCATGCTCTGAAAAGCAATTCCTCAACCAGCACAATGCCTGCTGCTGTTATAATTCCTCGACCAGCTAGCATGATCATTTGTCCATACACTTTCAGCCATGTCATGGCATCCAAGGAAGATGAAGGAAGACTTGAAGGCCAAGAGAAACTCACACAACCTAGTAAAGCATTTAGGGAATGTATTGATACAACAAGTACGACTCCTCCAATCAAGCCCCACAAAAAATTTTGTATCTGCAAACAACATCCAAAACATTGTTAGCTCACTTTTTTTTCTAATTTAAATGGTTCCAAAAGAATATTCATCAATTTCCAAGACCTAAACTTCACCAGAATTCTAGAAGAAAGGAATATGATACCAAAACACTTCCGTTATGGAAATGGGGATGCATAAATGAGTAATAGATGACTAGTTAAAGCGAAACTGCTGAGAACATAAATCAGAAAAGCATGATACATAAAGGAGACCATTGTAGTGGATTTTGTAAGAAGAAGCAATACTCATCAACACCTTGAAAGGAGAAGGAAAGAAAGGAGAAAAAAGAAGCTGAAACTTTTGTTCATGAGTTCTCCACTGTGCAATTAGGAGACACAACAAACTTATAAATATATTTGTTTGCACAGCTGGGGAAGATATAGCTAAAAGTTTTATCTCTGGAAAATTTTCTCGTCTCTGCAACTTGTACTATCCAAAAATGTGAAGAACCGTCTAAATCCTTACAATATATAAAAGCATGAAGTCAGTTGAAACATTTGGTTCAACTACAATATCCTTAAATTTAAATAATTTAATGGCCAAAATAGGAACCCCAATAATTGAACTACTACTTGCTGTTATAAGCCCCACTCATAATAAACTCATTAAGAGATCTTCTTTAGCTATTTCTTATAGTTAAAAATCAAATCACAGGGCCATTGATGCCTGGTGAGCTAACAGGAATATTGTTTGCAGTGCTGGTATAACTATCCAGTTTGCCAAAAATGTGATCATTCATGGCATTGTCACAAGAACAGGTGGAATTGTTAGGAATTTGATGGGTCACTACGGATTGAGGACTTAACAATAGAGATGGGACATATTTTGCAGTTGATGAACAAATTAATGTCTATTCGACAATACTTGCTAATTGAATTCTATTACAAAATAAATCCTAGCAAAGGCTCAGTTTTGCATTTTTTGTTATACGAATCAAACCTTCAACTTGCCTCTCATCCTTCAAAAAAAAACTATTTGATTTATGATAAGATTGAAAAGAAAGAATGTTTTATCCCAAAATACCAAATTCAAAGTAAAGAATTTGTCATTGTTTTGAGGTAAAACCTTGGTAGTTAAGGCTTTTGATGGATACTAGATTCATATAAAGTGGACATTTTCTTAAGAAAGTAGCACAAACCAAAAGGATGAAAATACTAGGTTCATGAACTCGTGGAATGTGAATCCATAAAAACAAAAAGATGAATTGACATTGAAAACTATAACTATCTGAATATGTTAAATTATGAAAAACTGAAAAGCATGTGTAGATTTTAATTTGTTAGACAATTTACATTACATACTTTTAGGTTTAAACAAATATTTTCTATTTTGTGTCAACTACTTGACCATATATATATATATATATAGCATGTGTAGATTTTAATTTGTTAGACAATTTACATTACATACTTTTAGGTTTAAACAAATATTTTCTATTTTGTGTCAACTACTTGACCATATATATATATACACAATATTGATTTTAATTTTCAAAATATGTAAAAACTATTTATTTAAATAAGGTATCATGGAAATAATATATAGATGCGAATATGATTTATGCAAAAAAAGTTGTTTAAGAAAAATTCTACACCAATCATGACATGTCACATATGAAAATAAAAAAATTACGTGTATATACACCTAATTTATATTATGCTTGAGAATTATTACAAATTACTAAAAATTATCTTCTAAATAAACTTTATTCAATAATTACCTTAATTGTTTAGATTTTTTCTATGTCAACTTTTTATGTTGTTGGAATAATCCGCATGTGCTATCATAACTAGTAAATATGGAAACACAAACTGTATCTTGTATAAGGAAAGCAGAAAATCACTCTGCTCCATTGGTAAACTAGCCCCTAATTTGCCAGAGAAAATGCATAATAAACTTGTAATGCCTAATATTAAAATTACATATAGATTGTAGAATAGAAATGATATTATTCTCACCATCATTAGGCCTATCCACAACTGTCTGAAACAATCCAAGCTTTCAATATAGTAAGCATAAATGCATGCAAAGCTTGAGCTTATATGGCATGCAGTTCTTAATTTACGACCATACCTTAGGCAATGCAGTCAAATCCAGCCCATATTGTGCTAGTGGATCTTCATATCCACGTACTCGTCTGCCCCACAACACAACAAGTATCATAGTAGCAGTATAGAGGCCAACAATGCAAACAAACTCAGCAAATCTGGAGGAAGTGTTTGTTGTCCAGCTCTGTACAAGTGTGGGAAGCAATGGAACAATGACTGGTGACCACAAAACAAGCACCATGCCAGCAAACCCAAGAATCCTTATCAAAGAAAGCATGACAAGAAAAGATTCAGTAAAAACAATCTTGCTCACTAACATGATTAGAAACGCAAAAATACACACTATATTAAACTTGTCAACTAATTAATCTGCCAGCCAAGCAATCCGTAAAAGCAAAAATATTAAACATGTGACCAATTCATCTAGTATTTTATTAACTAGAGTTGAAAAACAAAACATTGATAATAACACTAGCACTTTTGTCAAGAACTTCCTCCTTGAGTATAAACAATAGAAAAGGCTACAGATATAAGTGCTGCAGTCTACAGTTAGAACATTAAAATAGGACTTCAGAAAACCATGGTGTAAAACTTTCAACCTCAAACTCTAACCACTCCACCAAACTTAACATAACTCAGAATATCTATGAAGGGCATTAACCCGTTCTATCAAACCTAAAACAAGTCTGAAGATTACTTTGCAAAATCATATAAACTCTTTTCCAAAGATTTGTTTTATACATAGGTTCACTTCACCAGAGACTTTAATAAAATTGGCAATAACAGGTTTTATCTCTTATGTTTGGCTATTAATTAATATTATGCTATTTCAATACAAATACCGAAGCAGGGAAAGGTCAAAGGAAAAAAGAAAAGACAAGCACTGGACAAGGATGCTTAGAAAATTAGCTTACCTCTGGTACAAGGAGCGTTCAGCTAGATGCAGAAACAGAATCAGCCTGTCTGTAAGACTCATAGCACCGCGTATACCACCCCAAAGCAAAGCAATTTTACCAACCAGCTTCAATATGCCACCCTTTTGTCCCAAGTCGGCTAACATTGAAACCAGCCTGTTTGCATTGAAACATTTATATGAACTTCGGGAATATAGTTATACAGGGATTTCCATACATCAGACTAATATGTATAGGATATAATTTTAATACCTTTCTTGATCTACTCCACCACCTTCCTTTGTGGGAACCACTGGACCAGCAACGGACATGGCCTTCTCAGCCAGGCTTGTGACTAAGTTCTGGTTTTTTTCAGACTCTGTCTCTTCCAGCTTTTCAGCTGCCTTTCGATGATTTCCTCTTTCCTTTGAGAATTTGGATGACCTTTCCCCACCATCCTTGGAATTGCTTTGATCCTTTTCATTTAAATGTAACAGTAAACATCAAGAAGTTTGCAAATATCCAAAAGAAAACAGAAAAGGAAAAGAACAGAGAGAAACAGTCAACACACATGGATATAAACAACGACAGGTAGTTCCTGGATGCTCCTTGACATGCAACCAACAGTACTATTTAGGTTTTCAGCTTAGGTACAGCTTCCATAGTGGAATTGCTATCCGTTTTCACTCTTTTTTTTTTTTTTTTTTTTTTTTTGGCATCTGGACTCTACTGGGCCCTTTTATTATATCCAAAATTTTAAATTAATCTCAAGTTTGGGATGTAACCAACACTCAGTTATTTGGACACACATCATACATACCCTGAACCCTAGATATAAAGCTGCATATAAAAGGAATATAATAGTGTCTAGAAAGGAAAGAGTTCTCTCTCTCCCTCTCTCTGTTTCCACATTCTCAGTAAGAAGATAGAAATTTAAACTTCTACATGCATGAAGAAAAATGCAGGCAAATTTCAAACAGAAGAGTATGCCATTTAGATCAACAAAGATATATTTGGAGAACAGAGATATTGAGAATCAGTGTTTGATCAGCTTTCATTTCATAAAGATCTAAATTCAAAGAGCTATTTGAAAATTATACAACGGATCTAAATAGATTAATTGTTACCTCATGCTGAACTAGTAAAGCAGATGCTCCCAAGGCAGCTGTAACAGCACCAACCATGACTCTATCATTGTTTTTAGTTTTCAATGTTGCTTCTTCTCCTTCTCTATTTCTTGAACTGCTGAAACTTGTTGTCTGACCAGTTTTGATGGTAGGTTTATGATCAATCTCCTTTATACTGACCTTGTCTTGACTTTTCTGCCAATGATTTTGGGTTTGACCAGGGGATTTTATGTCATTATCGTTCCTTGTAGCTACATTAAAATATTTTCTCAAAGCAGCTAAGCTGGACCCTATAATGACACCAACTGGCAATAATCTTCTCAGATAATTTGTTCTAAGAATAGCAGATGAAATGGCCTTGACGATATGCTCCCCTTGAACAGTACCAACTTTTTCTTCAGTACCTTCAATTCTATTATATTTACCTTCCAAGCACCATGTAGGATCCATGTTACGTCCAACAGCCAAAGACACAGCATCTGCAACTAGTTCAAGATCTCTGGCAAGATAGGATTTCATTTCTTTCTTGTTAGCTGCACCTAGCTTGCGACCAACTTCAATCCTCAAAGCATCCAATACAACAATTTTCACAAACTCTATTAACTCATCTAATCTGCTGTCACTGTTTTCAACATTTTCGTTAAAATTTTCCACTCTGCTATATTCTTCAACAGGTTCCTGTTGCTTTTCAGTATCTAATACGTAGTATGATGGTTCAATATAATTTTCTCCATCGTTTTCTTTTCCAGAGGAATGGACCTGAACCTTGATGCCAGCACCATTACTGGTGGTAACACCTCCAACAGATTCTCCAGTGATTCCTGTCTGCTCCAGGAGCTTCCATTGACCTTCTTCTGGAAAATAGTCAAGCAACAAAGCAGTTGTTGTATCTAGATCAAGTGGTTTGCTATTTGGAATCTTTGAAAGTAGGTATCTGCAGAAGTATTTGTTCTGTAGAAAGTCTCTGTATGGATTTGCAGTTCTGTTCAATGGAATGCTATTTACATTTCTACCAGCATAATCAGCCAAATGTTTGCCACTAACTAATTGATCCTTCTTTTTTCTTCCTTTTTTTCATCAATACTTGCAGTATTTCCCTGAGAACCATTAGTACCTTTCCCACTAAACAAAATGGGATCCTCAGTGGGTTCCTCCTCTACCCATTCAGTACTTGCAGCATTCTGTAAGTAGTCATCACTTTCATGGTGCTTATGTATGGGAGGATGACGTAATGTGTCTGACCATGTGCCCAAGTCATCAACGTTTTCCAGTTTCTGAGGCTTGGAATCAACTGACTCATCCTCGACCTCTTTTTTATTCTTGATTTTGTTTTCATGGTCTGTTTCCTCTTCATACTGAGAAATCATGTTTTCTATCACACCAAAAACACTGTTAACAGCCACTTGGGTGGAATCATCCATTCCTGTCAAGGCATCCAACGCTTGAGTAACACTGAAAGTATGAGGATTAGAATCAGATATGGGAGGCTTATTTTGGTCAAGAGCAGGTTGCACGGTTTTGTTTTCCCTCTTCTGATCATCATTTCCTTCCCTTTCAATTGGTTGAGAGTCAGGAGTGGATGCTGCTGGTGGAATCTTTTCTTCCGTCATATTGGCTGAAACTATCCTATTTTGATCAGCAGCAGAATTTGCAGTTTTCTCTTCATTTTTCTGGGTGCTATGCTCCATTTTAGTTTCTACTTGAGACATTCCACCACCCTGTTCCACTTTGGATGCATCAACAATTGTTTCTTCCGTGCCACCTGCCTTCTCAGCATGGCTGGTGATATTAGGGTTACTGCTGGTTTCCAATCTCTTCTCACTACTCTCAGATTGAGATGCAGCTTTTTCTTTGATGAGCTCATCACTCTCATTCTTGTGTCCTGACTCATTTGGTTCCTTCCTATCAGAACCAGATGGATCGCCTTGTTGACTGCTCATTGCCTGAGACTGACTTGTTTTGATAGATTTTTGAAGCTCCTGCTCAGATCCAGCACCAGACTTCTCTGTCCCAGGTTGATTGTTAACAGATCCATCTGTCAAATCCTCATCCCTTTTCATCTGATCTGGGGAATGTCGATCTTTAGATGTGCCTTCTGCACTCGATACTTCTCTGACTTTTTCCTGGATCTTTGTCTTAGAAACATTAGGAATCTTACCTATGCTCAGTAGTCTATCAATTTTTAAGTTTGTGTGTTGAGCTTGCAGAATCCCAGATACAGCAGTTGTAAGCTTTCCACGAACTTCCTCTGGTACAGCATCTTGCAAAGCTTTCATAAGTGTCTCTCCCTGACCCACAGCAGTCAAAACCTGGACAAGCACTAGATCAGTGTCATAGAATAGCCTAGACATGTGCCTTTTAAAGGTTAAAAAAAGGGAAGAAATTGTAGGATTCAAAGCCTGAAAAAACAGCCATGCACAATTTAACCTAAATAAGAGTTATTAAGGACATCTGCCAAGGAGACAAGGGGCAAAAGCACTGCAAACTAATATGAAGATAAAAGAAAGTATACACAATCAACTAGCTCATATGATATATTAGAGGACACGTCCTTGTCTGTATGAAATGTTAACCAACTGTGGTTACATCATAAATATCGTGGTTGCTTTTTTTTTTTTTTTTTTTGTAATGATATTAATCAGCCATGGTTTTCCTGTAAAATAGGAATGTCTAAGGACGAGCTATCTTACAACTGTCATCCAAAGGATGGCAACTTAACGCATGCATTTCTTTTTCATCCACAATGTTGAGAAGGTAATTGCAAATTCTAGCTAGAATGAAATAAGAAGCAAACGACATTTTAGATTATTTTAAAAAGAAACTATGATCCAAGGTACATCTAACTTTATACAGAGTACAAACAAACAAAGTTCAGTTTCCACAGTCCACCCAATTATAAAGAGGTGAAATTCCAGAATTATGCATCTTCATATTCTTATTTAAGATATCATGTCTCCTTGAAATGATAACTGGCATACTTAAACCTCAGTGAAATTAGCTAGAATTGCAAATCTGAGCATTACCTTCTTCTTTTCTTCTTCTGACAGAGTACCAGGCATCGTCACATCAAGCATATTCATAACCACCTGTGCTGTTTGTAGCACTTGACCTTTTTCAATATCTACAGGATCTGCAGAATCCTGTTCGATCAATTCAGCATCAACAGAGCTTGTCTGTTGCACTGCATCATTTTCCAATTCTTGCAGTCCTTCATCGAGTTTTAAATCTCCTGAAACTTTTCTGGATCTTGATTGTAGTCTGACAGCAGTACTATTTTGAAGCATCTTGTTTAAAGGTTCTACAGTGTATCCACTAGCATCAGTGGGGAAACTACCTAAGAGCTTATTAAGTTGAACTCCGTTATCAGATGCTCTGCTTTCCACATGAGTTAGGCCTTCTGAGGGGTTGATGTTAAAATCTACATCTTTCAGAAGAGGATGACGACCCTTCAAAAGTCCAAGCTCCACAGCTGCGAGCCACTACAAGTGACATGAATACTGGTAAGTGTAGCTTGCAAGAAGCACAATTAAATTCCATCAAATCATTCAAACAAAGTAAGAAGAACAATGATTTTGGAATAGGTTTATTGATGATACCCATCATAGACACCACAGATTACAGAGTATTAGTTCAAGTTCTAGCATGATTACTACCACCAAGAATTCAAGAAACTGGTGCAGTACTCCCTACTCATTACAAACAAAAAGAGCTGACAAAATATACAGAACATCCTAACCATTTATCTGAATCGCCAAAAAGAAAAATATTTTAGAAAAACATCAACATAAGTTCTAAATGCATATATCATAAGGAGTTAATTCTAACAACGTAAAGTTGACAGATCATCTTAACGTCTACAATCTACAAAATAAGGCTAATATATGAGAGGGTTTCAAACCCTTATGAATGAACCTTCTGTTTTGAAAAAGAACAAGGATAATAAATCACCTCAATTGTTAGATTCTGGCACCATGATACAGCAGCTCTGCCACTTTCAACAGCACTAGACGGCATATAAGAACATAAAAGGAGGCTTGTGAATGGATTTTCGGCAATCAAACTGCGGGGAATGGAGAAGAGCGGCACTGTCCCATCATCACTCTGATAGTTTGACAGAATTGTTCCTGGTTAGACTTTTAATGAGAAACTTGCAAAGGAATTCAATGTAGCATGACATTTAAGTACAAAATATGCACCTGGATAAAAAGAACGGGAATCTTGACATTCCCAACCATGCCTCGTGTGCTAGATTTTGAATAGAAGTCTTCTATTTCCTCAAAGCCATAAGATACCATAGATATTGCTTTTTCAAAATCACGCACAGATTTTGACGCTAAAGCCTTTTCCACATCAAACCCCTTTGCTCTTCCTTGAAAAATTTCCTACAAAATTCTTTACATTTTAAGTCTACATAATTATCATCACAAAGATAGACCTAAAAACCAACCAGCTCATCTGTTTAAGCATTTCCTATCATGCTTAGCATTTCTTTGAAGTTACAAAGTTTCTATTCTTATGGGCATAGGATACGATCCATTTGCATTCTTAAGAAAATAACAATAATTCAGAGAAGTCGTCAACCTTGTTAGATTGCAGAATATCTATCAGTCCACCAGTGAGCTTCTGATCCAATGCCACATGATAAGGAGAGCACCTCGTGGCCTCCTCTAAGTCAAAAGGATTGTTAATGCACGTGGCGGCAGTGAGAGGGGTACTCCCCCAACTTCAGCCAAATATTTTGTCAACATATTTGCACCATATCCCCATCCAACACCCATTAATGTCGTCCATGGCCTTGCCTTACTGATGAACTGTACAGCTGTGGAGATATCATCGCTGTCAGCTGCTGTAAATAACCTACATAAATGAAGTAGTGAAGAAGCCCTACTATCAGCTTCTTGTAGCACACGAATTCAAAAGAAACCTGGAATAGATAACTTTCTCATTCGGGAATCTCATTGTAAAATCCTTTCTATTCCATTACCATCACACATTTCCCATAATTCATCACAATCAATTATGCAGATATCAGTCTTAATTACACACTGTCAGGCTACAACTAATCTAGTAGGTAGGTAGTTATACAGTCCTAACCTTCTCTTCTCAATTAATGCAGTAGTTTGCCCAATAACGCATTTTCCTCAATGCTCATTTACTTTTAAAGATGTTATCAAGCAAAAATAAACTACAATTAGCACCAAAATTTTTACATTAAACGCAATTAAACGATCAAATTCAATTAAAAAAATAACTTACCGGGCCGTGGTAATTGGTGAACCAGCACATCCTCTAGGATTCATGACGACAGGGAAAAAGCCGCGCCTAAGTGCATCAACCACAAAAAACCTAACATTCTCTTCCGAACTGCCGTTGGCAGTTCCAGGAACAAGTAACAAAGTAGTATCCAATCCATGTTCTTCTTCCAACTCCAAATTCGCCGGCCAATCAATCGAAATAACACCACCATCCTCCGCATTAACACACACCCTTTGATACTCCAATTTCTCCTCCAAAAATCCCTCACTACTCTCTGTCCTCACCCGAATTCTCCCGCTATTTAACCTAACAAAATGCCTATCCTCTTTAACTAACTTATCGTTCACATTTTCTAACAACTCGCTCCCTTCCAAAGATATCGAAGGGCAGCGTAAAATTACAAAACGGTTAAACGGCGTCGGGTTAGAAAAAAGAATCCACTCGCCGATGTTTGAGGATTTTGAAAATTTGTTTGATTGAGAGAGATAGAGAGTTAAGCCTGAAGCGAGGCCTAAAGCAGGAGCGACGATATCGAGTGTTTTTGGTGACGGGAATTGTGAAATAAGGTTCTGGAAAGGTTCTAGAAAGTTGTTGCTGTTTTTACATGGTTTAAGACGGCGTCGCTTGTAAGGACGGAGTTGGTGAGGGTTTTCAGGAGAGAAAAAAAGGTGTGGAATTAGGAGTGGTGGTTTAAGGTGGTGGAGATTGGTGTTCATTAAGAAGGACCGGTTTTCAATTTGGATAAGAGAAAGTGCAGGAAGTATCAGGAGGAGGAGGACGCTGCTGTTTTTGTTTTTGTATTCGTATTTGAAAAGAAATGAAAGATGACGGTGTTGGTGGGGTGGTCTACTGGTGGGGCTACCAAGTTTCCCCGCGAAGATCTAATATACGGTTTGAGTTTCTTGGGATTGGAGATGGACCAGAATTTCAGACCGCCAATTATTAATTAAATCCTCTGGCTAGATTTCATTGGGTTTTTATTGGGCTATATAGTCATTAGACCGCAATGTATGTAGCCCCACATTGAGCATACATGATATTTGGGCCTGATCTATGTATGCTACTGCTTAGGAGACGTTATATCAATTTAGAGACCCAGAAGGAGTTTGGAGCTAGGCCTCAGGTAATACTCGGATATAATCAAGCAACGTGCAGATTTTTACGGTAGGTTGATGGATTTAATTGGCTGTATAATCAAGCAACGTCCAGATTGAGCCTTTTTGAAACTTGGGCTTAATCTGTGTAGGTGTTACCAGACCCAATAGTTTTGGGGTACTTTTTAGGTTTGCTCTAGATTTAATGATGGATTGGGGGTGGGGTTTTGTGTGGAGGTGCAACTTAGTCATTTTCTGCGGAACATGAAGGAACATGGTGCATCTAGGAGTGGGACGTGAAAGGTTGGTGAACCTACCGCAATCGTATTCTCTTGGACGAAATTGTTTGGACAATTGAGAGTGGTAGCCTTTTTTTTTTTTTTTTTTTGACATGTTATGTAGAGAATTAGAGGAATTGGGTGTTAAGATAAAGAGTTAAAAGCAAATAATGAGTGCACTTTTCCTTATTCATCTTAGTGTCTCAACTAAATGGATAACGCTAACATCCTATCAGCAGCATGATCATGCACCAAATTACTACATCATCGTGACTTACAATTAGTTTTGGTAACATGGGGCTTTTTTTACAGATAAAAGGATGGTGTAGTATAAATGTAATATTCTACTATCATAATAACATGCAACCTTAATTAGTGAAGCAAGAATTTACAACTAAGGGGAAAAAAATTAAAAACCCAAGAGGTGTTAAAAGCTTAATTGATGTTTTGCAAAATGTATTCTCGATATAGAAAATCAGTAGATCAATAGCAGAATGTGTGCGGGAGACATTGGTATAATAAAAATTCATGTAATATAATCCTTTTAGCTCTTTTTGGCAAAATAATGTTTTTGGATTTTTTTTTCTTGGAAGGTTGATTTTGTAATAAACAAATGGAGAAAAAACAGTTTGGTTAATTGTTATAAAAATTGTTTTAGCATCTATTTAAAAACCAAAAGTTAAAAGCTATAAAAATAAAGTTTTTGAGTTTTTTTAGTTTGTTATAACATATAAACCTATAAAATAAAGTTTTTTGAGTTTTTTAAATTGGTTATAAAATAGAAAAATTTTAATAGAACATACCATCAAAAATTTTTTTGCAACCATAGTACATAAATTCAAAACCAAAATCCATAGTTAAAAGTCACAACAATAGCAAATGGATTTATAGCTCTTTTTTTTTTTTTTTATAAAAAAAGGCATAACTTTAGAAATTTATTAAAAAGAAAATACATCTAAAAGAATAGGGAACGAAATTTCTTGTTAAAGATAACTAAACCAACTTTTATAATGAATCAACGTATTCAACTTTTATCCTGATTATTATTATTATCTATTCACTCTTATATTGCGGTGCCCCTTATTCTATATCGATGACTTGTAAAAAATTTGAATTAGATAAAAGAAATGATTACATACAGTAAATAATTTTTTTTGGATAGTAAGAACAAATAATTAAACCAATTTAATTAGGGTTGCACTTGGGGGTTCAATTAGAAGCTAGCTATTCAGGTCTCTTCTCCAGACTGGGGCATGGCAAATATATGTAACAATCAAGTACAATTTTTTTCTAGGTACAAGAAAATTTTGATTTTTCTCACTAAAACATAATTATATATGTTGGTGCATGATGTTGTTCGAAGCTCTTGGTGAAAGTGAGGGTCATAACAATAACAAATTCAGCATAATAATATTTACTGCATGTCATATCTTGCAGTCTCGTGTGCTAGTAGCGGGTTAATGATTAATTTTGAGGTTAATTTGTTGTATTATTGATTATTATTTTTTAATTAGATCTTTTATTTTTAAAATTTCTTCATCTAATATTTGTACTATAATTGGTATGTCCATCGTTAATGGTGTTAATTATTTAATTGTTAACTTTAAAATATGCTTTGATATATTTGAAAAGAAAGTTATAAAAAAAAATTAAATAGATAAAGATTGAAAACAAAAGAATTAAAATTTAAGAAATTAAATCCTAGAAATTATTCTTCCCTCACGTATAATTATTTAGAAATTAAAAGGAAAATTACACTAATAAAAACTTAAAACTAATAACATAAATCATTTCACATTTAAAAATAAAAATAAAAATAAAAATAATTTTTTAAAAAAAATATCCAAATTTTCTCTTTTTTTCCCCACCAAGCTCAATTAATTCCAATGTATGTGGTTAAAATAAAAATAAAAAATCAAATTTCCTATTAGGTTTTTCAACCTTTTTTACTATTTGAATTGTTTTTATAGAGATGATATTGGTTTGATGGTGGATGAATTTGTTATGGTTGTGTTGGTGGCTGAAACTTTTTAAGAATTTAATTGGATTTTTTTTTTCAAACAAAAATTTTTATATTTTTTAATGAATATGGAGTGTGATAATGGAGGGCTTGTAGCGGCGGACAATTTTTTTTTTTTTTTTGGTGTAGACAAAATTGGTAGAAGTTGCTTGTTTTCAATTTTATTTAATTGGTTTTTGTTATGAAATAATGAATGTTTATGATCGTTTCATATTCTCTCGTCGCTACACGACGTCGGACGGGACCCTCCAAAGAAATTAAGTCTAAGCGTTAATTGTTTACAAAAAATTATTTATAGAGTTTTGAAGTTGCCACTTAGTATTTAAGGAACTAGAAACCTAAAATAGGCACTCGGTTCGGAGATTCCTAAGGTAAGGAGTTGGTTACGCTTTTAGGAAGATACTTAATTAGCTAAAAATGCCATTTTCGAAAAAAGATACCATATATGGTTTTGTTCTAAATTCATCTCTTAAACTATCAAATTATTTTTTGATTTCTAAACTCCTATTTTTTTTTTAAAAAAAAACCAAATTGAATTTTTAATTTTTGGGCGTGACATCATATTGAAACGATCGTTAGTCCCCTTCATTGGACGACACGTCGGTTCAAACATCGGATCCACTAAAAGCCTTGATACAACCGGCTTGTCGGAGAACGTCCTAATTAAAAGGTAATTCTTTGGTGACGTCAATCCCTATCAAATAGGAGACTTCGTAGAAAATTTTGAAAAAAAAAATTTTTTTGTGTGACGTCGATCCTTACTAGGTAAGAGACTTCGTCAAAAATTTCAAATATGTTTTTTGTGACGTCGATCCTTATTAGATAGGAGACTTCATCAAAATTATTATTATTTATTTATTTATTTATTTTTGTGTGGCGTCGGTCCCTATCGGGTAGGAGACTTCACCAAATTTTTAGATTTTTTTCATTTTTTTATTATCTAATAACATTAAAAAAAAAAGAAGAAAAATATCAATTCTAAATTATTACATGCAAATGTGATGAGAAATAGAATAATCAAATTAAAAAAAGAAAAAAAATTAAATAAAAGAAAGGGATAAATGAACAAAGTCAACACCTTTTAAATAAATAAAGAAATGGTACATTGGTACCTTTATTTTCCTCGGGAGAGGCAACCTCTCCCGTTTTTGTTTCATTTTTTTTTCTTTTTTTTTTTTTTTGGGAGAAGGCTGGAATGATTTTAGCCTTCTCCTTTTTTATTTTTACTCGCTCACACAAAGGAGCACGGGTTGGACTAAATTTAGTCTAGCCCTCCTTTTAATTAAGTCCGATTCGGCTTCACACAAACAAGCCCATTTTCTCACTTTTTTAGATCAAAGCATAGACCTTTACCCGTGATCCCTTTTCTCTCTTTTTATTTCACACCGTTCTTCATGTCTTGCTCTTATTTTCCAGTTTTCGTTTCATTTTTGAGTTCCCTCTTCTTTTTATTTTTATTTTTTGTGATGGTAGATGACATGAAATTCGCTTATTCAATTGAACTAAGGCCTAAGATCTAAACCAGAATACAAATTAACAACAATTCAAGTGATTAATTAAAGGGTTGGCGAAGCAAAAATACAAAAAATGGGGACTGACAAAATTTAAATCAAACATAGTAAAACTTGTAGCTTGGGTGGAGATGTTGAAATTTCTTAATGACTTTGATAAATGTGGATGTTTGGGTAGTACTCAAGATTTAAGAATTAAGTCTTGTAGAAGTAAGGGATAATGGGAAGTAATCTTAGATGATGAACACACCAAGATAGCGAAGAACAAAAACCCAGCAAGCAAGAATGACGATAAGATTTCCCGAAACGTGAAGAACTAAAACGGAAGAATTTTCCTCCAAATCTCACACAAAAAGGTGAAGGAAAACGCGAAGCTAAAAACTTAGCCTCGGAAACACCAAACAAAGAAGAAAAAGGGGTTGACGGATTATGAATTGAACCCAAGCCCCAAGAACACCAAGAACACTAAGCACCCAAACCCGAAACCCGGAAAAAACACATTGACTAAAAAAAAAAAGTTAAGCCTTTTGCTTTCGATTTTCAATCCCTCTCAACCCGAATCCTTCCCTCCCTCCTAATTTTTTTCTCCTCCCTTTTTTCCGTGAAATCAAACTAGTTTTATAGCCACAAAACCCCTCGAATTTCTCCTAGAATCAACCTCAATCCTAATTGTTCCGTAAACATTTTCCTCTTTAATTTGGTTAGCTAATCAATAAGGAAAGGAATTGGTCATTGATTGATTTCTGTTGGTATTGATTTTGGTCAAGAATCCATGATTAATGCAAAATCAAAACAGAAAATTTGGTGGAAGAT